AGGCGTGCTGTTGGTACGCGAGTTGAGTGTTGGTCACGTCAACCACCTGCGCCCTCCCCCATCTCCGGTCTTCTTGAGAGTTGTCTTGACTACGGGCCCCGGTTTGGGAGTGGGGCAGATTCTCCGCGAGTCTAATTTCACTAGAATACCACGGGAGTCACCGCGTTTGCCTTCAGCTTGCTGAGGCTCATGGTGGACAGAGTCGAAAACGGCAGTCGAACTGTCGTATGAAATGCGACAAGTTAGTGATGGTGCAAGAGAAGGAAGAGGACTAAATGATAAAACCGGTAAAAAGGAAGCACCTTGTAGCGATCGAGGATTGTTGGATGTACGAAAGGCAAGGCTTAAACTTCGCTGAAAGGCGGCGGCGGGTAGAGAGGCAGTCTGTGCGGGCCGCTGTTGCAGACTCCGTCGATCGAAAGCACTCCTGGAAAAGGCGGTGCCGGCGCCGGAAGCACGGTCGGACGAGGAGCGGACCCTGTCGACAGCGACGTCCGGTTGCAACGCTGAGGAAGGTGGCTGCAACTTCCGAAGGCATGGACAAGAGTCGGGCGCAGCCTACACAAACAGCAGGAGGAAGACAATTAAGCAGACCACCGCAGTACCATGCAAATGAATAAATAGCAAGACGGAGTGGGAAGGGGGGAGTGGTGGAAAATAAGACAGAAGGATGGACCTGAACCCGGTGCAGTTCGATGCCGTAGGACGCGAGTTTTTGTGCCGTCCGCAGAAAAAGGAGATCCGCACGAGAGGCCACCAGACCACTAAAAGGGTGAGACAAGAAACAACCAGAATTAGCGTTCACTTCACGACTACACCACCTTGAGGTAGCATCAAGGTTGTTCTCCCTCCCTTCCACGGGCAGCCCAGTACTGGAAGACACTATGGCAAGGGGGACTATTTTGCTATCCAAGTGTTTACGGATGATAATAAAATCCTCAAGGCTCACCTGCTACATTAACACGTCCATTCCATAGGTTTAACGGCTACTGATTCTCCATTCGAAGATACGTTTTTTTGATAAATTCTCGCCAGGCCTTTACATTGATATAGAAATTAAGTAAATAAACTATGCGGATTGGTGGAAGAAATAGTGC